GCAGTTGAATGAGTAACAAGTGAAAAGTTCAACGATGTGAAATAAACGGAGACTGGATGAATTGTGTGTATGTATGTATGTGTAAGATGAGTTATTAATGAATGATATTCAGTGTTGATATGTTTCTATGTGAAGTAAAAATAAGAATATAAGTGAAAATTGAAGGTTGAAAAGTTGTTTCTGAATCATCGAATTTCAAGTAAAAATGAGAATCTTTCAAAGTTGAAATCATGAGTCAATTGAAGGTAGACCACCATCAAAAACCTGGAAGCACTTCGTGGATCAGTTGAAGTTAGACATTAACACCGTTGGATGCCAGCTCAGTGGTCTATCGGTTAAGGGCTTCGGCTCGAAACTGTTAGGTCCTGGGTTCGAATCCCGCGAGAGCAGGTTCGTGGATGCGCACTCCTGAGGAGTCCCATAGTAGTACGAAACGGCCGTCCAGTGCTTCCAGGTTTTCCATGGTGGTCTAGCTTCAATTGACTCATGATTTCAACTTTTAAAAATACTGAAATCTCCACAAATCCCCTTCTAAAAATAAGAATCATCAAGTACATAATTGTAATACTAAAAATAACTCATATTGATTTCAGTCGAAATAACGTTTCACGTGAGATAAAGAGGTTGAATAAAGGAACGGTCAAATTGCTTGTTGATGAATATTTGCCAAATGGTTGCTACCTAAATACCATCCTTTCTGTTTAGGTTGTTCTTATTCGCCCATATATACAGCGCTACTGCTGTCAATCTTTCTTTATGAGTGTTGAAACCTTTCTGAAGTATTTTGGCCCTTTCAAAATTAATCATGTATCCCGTTTCTAACGCATGTAGCGCTATTGCAGACTTATTCTCAAGTTTCCTTATGTCAACCGAAGTTTTGGGAACATTTTTTTAAACACTGTGTTCCTACTAATCGAATTGCCATGTTTTTTTTCTATTTCTAACTCTAAATAATCATCAATAATAACAACCACAACAAAGTTGTTTAGTTGGTGATGTTTTTCTTTCAACTGACCTCTTTTTTTATAATTTTCTTTTATGTAAACAGTTTTATTTGGTTCAGTTTACACTAGTCAAAATGAACATGCAATAAGACCAGTATTAGATAGATTTACTTATATTGAGTCAACAACTTAACTCTTAGTTAAAATTCACTCCAAATTATAGGTAATTCCTTACAATATTTAGAATATATCAAGTGAGAAAAATGGAATCAATTCAAAATTTCAGCCTTATTTTGTGAAAATGAAAGAGAAGAACATTGAAGAAAAATAGGGAAAGAAAGGGAACTGATACGTCTAAGATAATTAACATAAATACTCTAATAATGACTATTTCCTAATGTATTTCTTGTTTCCTAGTTTATATATTTATAAGACTATGTATGTATATTAAGTACATTTGTATGTGTTTGTTATCGGATGTTTAAGGTTAGGTAGAGAAAATGAAGATGATCAAAGAAATGAGAATACAAAGTGTGGAAAAAAAGAAAGAATAAAGAAACAATGAGATGAAGAAATTTCTCCCTAAATATTAAAGTTAGTTTGTTTCAGGTTTCATTTATATGGAGTTGGTGTATGTATGTTACCAGGTCAGTTTTCCTACCATTAAGTATAAATCATTTTGTTTCACCTTATCATTGTCTGTTATCATTGTAAAAAGACGTTATCATGAAGCTAGTATTCATTGATAGATCATGTCAACTTGTCTAAAACTTAAGATAGATGAATGAAATGAATAAACTTTCCTTGATAGAAAAAAAAATTCTATGAAATAGCTTTCGTCTTTGCCAAACTATTAATAATGATAATGATAAGTTTTTTTAAAGGTAGTTTTTAATTCATACCAATATCGTTTGGATGAATTGTAGAAATTGCAGACTGATAAGCATTTAAAGCAACTAGTACTCTTGATAAATTCAGCAGATCTGATGAGAAGACTAAGTTTATCACCATAATTTTATGTGATTAGATTGTATTACACTAATATATATATAGTATGGCAAAAATTCCAGTAGCACAAACAAAGTCCACTAAATTTGATAGGTTTCTACTGACCTCGTAAATAATTTTGAACGATATTCGTTTTGATCGAATGACTTATGTTCATAAGATATTGAATTGTTTTGTTTCTTTGGATTCAGTGCCACCTCTTTTCAAACATGAAGATTACTGTTCTTGAATGTCCTCGAATGGAACATCTATGGAAAAAATATATTTAATGAATAATTAATAGTGGAAGACGTAAATTATTTTTTTAGACGTTCATTCAATAGTGTTCTGTTAGATTAGACTCAATAATTCCAATCACACGTTTAATGGGTCTTCTGGGTCACTAGATATCACTTATAAATATTTTACAATAAATAAATACAGTCTAAATATTAACATGGAATAAATGAAATGTGACCCCCAGTGGAATTCAGCATGCGCGTCTCGTCCTATCCGGGACTCATCAGCTGGGTGTATCTGCATTCTTGAGTTTTTGTTCACTTCAGGAATCGAACCCGGTATCGTTTTCCTCAAAAACAACTACATTATCCATTTAGCTATAGAATTTGGTTATTCATTGGCTTGTGCGACGAGTAGCTTTAGCTTGAAAGAAATTGGATTATCCTGTAGTTGACATTTTGAATGGAATTTGATAGGCATTGGTTGCACAAGTGAGTGACTACCTGAACTCAGTAACTAAGTGAATCACGCGGTGATGCTTGAAGCAAACGATACTGGCTTCGAGTCCCGCATTGAGCTTCAACTCAGGGATCAGGTACATCCAGCCGACGAGTCCTAAATGAAACTAAACGAGCGTCTTGGATACCTCTTCTAGCCACATTCCATCTATTCTATACCAACTTGGGCCATAATACTTCATCGATTTCGAATCAAAATGTCAACATCGGGATGATTCAAGTCATTTTCAATCGAATTAAAACCTAAATATTAGTCGCATCATAACAATTTTTTGAATTTGTCTCGTTAATCTCAATGTTTTATCAATTCAAATAAACTTGTATTTATTTTGATCTAAAAAATATAACCGAGAATTCGTTTAAACTTGCGACTTTAAGATGGTTTTTTATTAGTCCTATCTATAGTATATTTTACTGCAACACCTATATGTTGACAGTATTATTCAAGATTCATTTATAGAGACACGATTCACCAAGTGTTTACTTTTACTACTGAAAGCTAATGTCAGAAATCTGTATTTCTTTTCAAATAGTTTCAAGAACGTACCTAAATTTTTATCCATCCATTGATTATACTTCTAATATTGTCAAGCCATATGTAATAAAGGACTGGCATTTGAAGCGTTTATTGTAAACATTTGTTAGGAATAGTGATAGCAAATTAGTAAAATGTTCCTCTACTTAACCCAGTAATTCCATCGATTTAGTAAACTAACGTCTACTGAGACTATTGAAAAAAGGCATACGCTATGAGTGCAATTGATTTATGAAATGAAAACGAAAATGTCTTATTTATTAATTTTCACTATCCTTTAACAAAACATTTATTCACTTTTCCCTGGTTTTTAGTGGTAATTTAGTCTGTGCTTCTGTAAGCTTCCATTCTTCAAGTTTCATTCCCTTTTGACTAAAGCACAAAAAACGTTAGAATGTCCTCAATCGAAATGAAATTGAAATTCCCAAGTTCATTGTTAACTAACATGAACCAATACGCTACTCTTAAATGCGACTTACATTCAAATAATGTTGAGTATTTTATCTTTAGTATAGAAACCCTCGTTTGACGCTGTCGTGAACGGATACTTGATGGGGACTACCAATTTATTGTTTGATGTAAAATTCTAGTATCTTTTTGAAATATGAAAGCTATATACTAACTACTTCATTTGCATATTTTCATTTGATTATCTCTTGCAAACTTCATTGTCTCTCTATTCCTGTTGCTACTTTGATCGCTTTTAATTTTCTTTGATTTTCTCTTCATTCCAATCTCCTCAACCTTCTGCTTGAAGGCATTCCACTTTCGATCGTGCTACATACTACTTATATCTGTCAACATATGTAGCATACATCACAACACAATTCGCAGGGTCATATATTCACAGATTATCGCTTATAACTTACATATAAGAATGAATTCTTTACAAGTGATTTATAATCGGTTATTGAATTAATTGTGATGAAATATAAGTACTAGACTTTCAATACACATTGATATACTAATCAAAATTAGAAAAGTGAATAATAATCGACAAACGCTGTATACTTTTTCACTGTATTCAACGTTTTAGAATGCAGATACTTTAGGTAAGTTATTTCAATACTTAACTTCTTATTTTTATTCCCGGCAAGCCTTATTCACTAGTCTAACATAACAAATAGAAATATGGACCACCGAATTTAGAATCTATTGCCTAAAGTTAACACATTAGTCTTTAGACCTGGAGGCTCTTAGTTCATTCCCTGTCTAGTTTTTGAATGCGGGGTCACAAACTAAAAAAAGATTATTCGATACTCCATGCATTACAATGTTTATTCATTTGATATCACTACGTAATGAAATATAACTTCTTGATGAACAATTCACACAATTTACAAACTTCAGAATATAATCCCACTACTATGAATATTATCATTTCGTTTTAGGTATTAGTAACCGTAATTTTATCCATGGAAAACTATTTCAATCCTTAGGAATCAGTAGATCACTTTACAAAACACGTAAATTCCTTATGAAATTTTCAGTTATATTATCAACAGATTGTACTTATGAATAAGTAGATCAGGAAGAATAAAGTTTACTATTTATTGTTATAATTGGTGGTAACTAATGCTTAGTTTAGTGGTAATGTAAATTGTAGTTATTCATCAAGCTTTTTATTAGTTGGTGTAAAGTTCTACTTAGTTTAATTTATTCGGTTTAAATAAACAGGACCAAAATCAGTGTATTCACATATAGATTTTGATAGGTTTTTCGCACAGCTAATTTTCATAAATCATTCTTGTCATCTTTACACCAGGATACTTGGTTTCAGGTTGTAGAAAGGACATGGTACAATTTATTTAAAAGACGAACAACTTGATTTTCAAACGCAATATTCGGCACACTAATCACTACAAGTATATTATGGCAAGATATGCTACTGAAATCACATAAAAGTAGCATAAAATGTACTCGATAATAATTCGGTAACAAAGACAGAAAAATACCTAAATTAAATAACAGGAAATGTCTCAAGAAAGTGAGAGACAGATAATCACGAGCAGTTACGGTAACACAGAGTGACCACAACAAGTCGATGAAACGTTCATCACATGTGACTGACCTAGCAGCTAGAGTAGTATTTATGAAGCTTTTAATCAGCTGAATAGTTTTTTTTGTTTATTATTAGTCAGTAACTTACATCAGCAGGTGCATTTATCACCCCAGTGTGATATCCAAAAGGAAACGAACTCCCCAAAGTTATGACACAATATGGCAAAAAGAACTTCAGTCGTCTCATTGATTGCGTTTTACTCAAAATATATAAAGCTGAAAAGCGATTCACAAACTGGTGAAAAGTTGTAGGTAATTGTAATCCAATCAGAGGTAAAACGATAAAGCGTAAATTTCGTATGGGACTGGGAATACTATAGACGTAAGTGAAAATCTGATGGTTCCATGCTTTGGCGTAATATTATAGTTATTAAAAAAGGGTGAAACAGATCCTCACAACAAATGGCACATGTAAGATATTTGTTTTCACTAATTCTAAGTAAGCAATAGTTTGTTGGTGATTTGATTGAAACATTATAAGTGGGGAAACTTAGAAGTAGGGTCATCGGTAACATCATTTGATGGAAAATTGTTAGAAATCACGTTTGCCCTAGCTTTATTCGAGCACATTAAAGATAACGCCAGATATGACTTACGAAGCTCCTCGTCTCTCTTGGATCTAATCTTCACACATGGTGATGTCAGAAAAATAACTTTCTCCTCACCTCTAGGGAGGAGTGATCATGCAATCATCTTATTCTCCCCACTAGATCGAGACATTTGAGAAGACATAGAAGATGAGTAGAAAAACCAAGAACGAACAAAATACCAGTGGGATACAAGCTTTCACAACGAGTCATCAATTCTTGGGACCTGTTGCTCGAAGCAGTAGTGTCCGCACCCCTAATTGACTTATTCAAGAGAAGACTAGACACTCACAGAAGCATACTAGGAAAGGAACAACATAGGCCTTCTATCCCTACCGCACAGATCTGAATCTGTTTATTCCAAAGAACTCGATAGACTGATCATTCGTGAATATGTATATTAACGGAACTCAGAACCTCCGAAAGTAATATCGTAGGTGTGCCGACTGGAATTTGTAGGTGTTGACCAGGAAATTCTAAATAGGATTAAAGTTCTGGAATGTTGTTATATCCCCTGGTGAATTATGAATGGTAAATCTGAGGTATATTTATGGACAAATGTAATATGCCTATTTCCTATTGTATAGTTGTTAAATAACTGACCTAATCGTATTCGTGTTCCTCTTATCGTAACCTTTATTTTGACCTTTGAACTATTATTATTGATTACTTTCCCCCTATCCACAGCCACATTGGCCAATTATTGTACAAATGTTATTTTTCTATTTTTTGGTATATGGGGTCTGTTTGGTTTGTATATAAACCCAGTATGCTTGTGAATAATGATTCACATTAACGAGGCTGTTATTTGTGTTCTGGACTCAACTGGCTGGGTTAGGCAAATCGCAGGATCGGTTAGCACTCTAGTCCGCTAATTCGGGGTTCGAGTCACTGCTCCAGTCGATAATTCGCTGCTCTCTAATTGACGGTCCCATCACCTTCACCCATCAACAAATAATCCACTCGGCCACAGATACAACAAATGTGAACAACTATTAGTAGTTTTTGAATTCGAAGACTGTTCCAAAAGCAAACACATTTGCGGTCCAATGGCTTACAGCTTCAGTTAAAACGTACCGAATACATTATAATATAAGAAATTTACTACTACGTACAACTATTAATAATAATAATAATAATAATAATAATAATAATAATAATAATAATAATAATAATAATTTATTCTCAAATAACATTGTTACATGAGGCATGCCGGTTTACAGGCAAGATCAAATTGTTAAAGAAGTTACAATTTTCACTGTTGAAAATTACTCAGTTGGGTTGATATTTCACACGATATGAATGTAAATGGATTTCATAAGAAACATGTCAATATCAATATCACATTTGGCGCACTTTATGGAGGTAGCGTTGCAACATACAACTGATGTCCGAGAATGGATACATGCGAGGTTGGGGGCTTTTAGAAGTTTCGCACTTATGTCCCTCCAGAATATCGGAAGCATTAATAACGGTGTAGGACGAAGTCACCCGTGCCATTTCTGTTTTCGATGGAGTATCTGCAGGAAGCTGAAAAAGGTGTAAGAAAAAGGAAGGACGAAAAGCAGAGCACACAATTTTCATGGAGGAATAGTTAACGTATAACCATTTAGTCTATTTGTCTGTTAGTGAAGTATTTATTGGGTAAGAACATACTAATGTGTTAAAGAAAAATAAGTGTGGGCAAGGTATGAATGGAAAAGGAACTGTATAAATGAAGGTAGTTTAGAAGGAAGTATGGAAATGTGTAATTATAAAATAAAGTGCTGAAAACAGTATTCCGATACAAATGGCTATCTCCCTTTTTTTCGAAGCTGTTTGAACTCTCTTTTTTTGTTTTCAGATTTTATAGGGTATAGAGTGGGCTTCGTTTTTAGCCAATTGTCTAGTTTGCTTGTATTAGGATTACTTGGTAGGAAGTGGAACCAATTCAGCTTTTTTTTTTAACACGATTCAAAGTGGTATTTTGCATGAATAATCTTGCATCAATACCGTTGGTTCGTGACATCCCACTAGACATAAGGAGCCGTAATTAATATGTTCTGCCCCACAGACACGGGTGGATTGAAGTTATCTCATCACCATCATGTTTGCTGATGAACATATAGTATAAAGTCCTACATACAAGTTTACATATGTTTACTGAGGGCTAGAGTACGCAATTAGGGCCGAAACAACTCGGCTCAGAACTTAAAAACAGACAGTTATGCCATTAGTAACATTTCTTTTTTCAGATATACAGAATTATATGTTTGTACATCATGTAGCACATCAACAGCATTAAACGGTTTAATAAATGAAACACGCCACATCATAACGCGAAAATAGGGACTCTGAACAGTGTGATTGGTCGGTTTGAATAGTTTGTCAGACTTTGTCTGACTCTATTGGTTCATTCGTATACGACCTACAACTACGGAACTGCCGATATGTAACATAACTAACATTTTGCTAGAATAAGGTTTAACGTAATCTGGAATGAATTTAGTACCTTAAGTCATTGTTCATGAGATAGTTGTGTTTAACATCCGACTTCTCAGACTGGTTGATATGGAAGTGACCATCTCATTTCAATTTTCAACAGAAGTGTATTGTCTGACTTTTCAACCACTTTACCGTTTCTTTGGAATTTCAGTGCTGTATATAAGAGTGTGTAACAGTATTTAATGCTGACCTCATTAGTTTTAATGGGCACGCACTAGCCAAAGGCGCTCGGTCTCACATTTGCACCAGAACACGAATGAGTACTCTGTGCTGCCCAACCCTTACAACTACTAGCCAACTTAGACAGAACGCCTTTCGACATATCGGCAGCCTTCGAAATATATCTTTGAGCCTCTTCATTTCTGACTTTCGATCCGACTGCGTTGGCATACTTCTATTACATAGGTGTTACGTGCAAGGGCATTGTCAAACTCCTAATGCCAGTAGCACCTTTAATGATGGGTCTGACGTGATCTGGTACACCGAACGATAAACTGTGAGTCTGTTCCGTGTTGTAATATTATGTGTCATATTTAAATTTTCATTTTTACACATAGTTATACTGTTTTGATATTTTCGGTTGTATTTTTTCTGGATAGCAACGACAAATGTACTCATATCAAACTAGACCATAACTCCACAAATTGCCCTGACTGTTGATGATGATTTTTTCGCCCTGTCCTCCAGATTGTTGAGTTGCAACTTTCATGAATTCGGTCTGTTAAGAGTATAATGATGGAAATGCGATTCAAAATAGATCATCGATCGAAACTTACCAGACTGTTCAAGATACGTAATTGCTTGACTGCGGTCGGTTCTGAATCGCCACTTTGCTTTGAAGAAGACGAGTGCCTTGAGCGCCTATGGTATACACCAGAAAAAATTGGAAGTTCATTCCAACCTGATGTAGCTGTAAATAATTCCCCAAAATCAATAGTTCATTAAGTGTTCGACATTGGATGCTGACCACGTGTTTAAGTGGACTTGTTTAGCTGAAGGCTTTCGGTCATGCATCCGCACCAGATCACGTTTCAATACGGCGTGGGACACAGCTCTTACGTTTCATTAACCAGCTCATAGAAAAGGTCCTCGATATATTGGTAACGAATCAAATATATCTTTCCTACCTCTTCTCGTCTGACTTCTGATTTCTATCTGACTGGGAACGATCAAATATAGAAGGTGCTACTGGTAGCTAGTTGTAAAACTAGAACATCCGTTGCACCATCATTGGTGAGACCGACGTGATCTGGTACACCAAGTCAATATACTGTGAGTCTGTTCCATTTTGGAATATTATTATTTATTGTTATTCTTTATTTGAATTTTATATATTGTGATATACTTTTTTTCGCAGTTTTTTTCCCAGATATATTTTACTTGGACATTTTTCGTTATCTATATCACTATGACGGAACACTCTCCTAAGGTTCTTAAGTCTATTCCCCCTATTTCGATTCAGTTAACGCCATTTTGGCCCGACAATATCGAGTCCTGGTTCTGCTATGCAGAAGCCGATTTTAGCATGCACGGAATCACGGACTCGCGCACACGTTTCCTTGCGGTAGTTAAGGCGCTACCGCACGAGTTTAACAGGTATGTAACACCTAGTATGTTTACTAGTGATGTTCCCAAACCTTACGAAACGCTTAAGCTATCGATTTTAAAACGAGGAGACCTAACTGATCGACAACGGTTAGACCAACTCCTTAACAATATCGACTTGCAACATGGTTCTGCGACGGACATGTTGCTTAGAATGAGAGAAGTCATCGGCCAACGAACTTTCGATGATGGCCTATTTAGACAACTTTTCTTGTCTAAACTCCCTCAACAGGTGCAGGCAGTGCTTGTTTCATTTCAAAACAATGCCATAGATGAACTAGCTGCATCTGCCGATCGAATCTTGGAAATCACTAGATCTTCTAAGGCCGAGGTTTTTTCCGTCAAGGAAAAACCCCAATCGACCTCGACTGACATGGCCGAACTATGTCACACGCATACACGATATCTTAGAGTTCGCAATGACCGTAGTCGGTCAAAAACCCCGCGTAGAAGCGTCTCACGTAAGCGATCTGGCTCTCGACCACGAGAGACAGACAATCCCGACTGGTGC